TTAAAAATGTTATTAATATTTTAATAATGCCAGAAAGCTATTTTTAACAACTGTTGCAAAATATTTCAAACAATTTGTCTGCAAATATTTCGCATTCGTTATGAGTTACTTTTCTTTCACTTTTCCCACATAAATTCCTGCTTAGAAACTAATCCTCAGCGATCAATTTTTAATCTCACATAATTTCCAAGTTATTCACCCATTTAGTCCAATGGCCTAGTCGTTCTAGATGGCATAGCAGCAAATACAATGTATATGCATATATGTTGATTTTAATCCTTCTCGCAGAAGAATTCAAGCGTTACAGTTGTCACTATAATTAATGGGCAAAAGCAAATATTTTTATATACAAGTAGATATCTTCAAGATACACTCATCAACAGATGTACATATATGTATATTTATAAGTATGCAAGTATGCATGCCGGCCAATCTGTTTGTTTTGTTCCTGAAGGCGCGTGGGCGTATATTTTACTAAGCATAATAATTTGTAGATAGATTAAGATGCTTTTCTGTGTCACGATTTTACTTTGTAGGAAACAAAAAATTATGCTGTTATAATTAGCTCATTCAAATATTAATATTTTTTAAATTGTTTACTTAAATATTTTTTGTAGGGCATACACTCTTTAAAGCATCAGCTTTCAAAGTACCCTCATGCAGATACATCAACGCATATGTTTACATTATTATTTATATAAATATTATTAAAACTTTAAATTAGCTATGTTATTATTTTTCTTTGCACGCTTTATTTTCAATTTCACTTGGCTTGTATAGTATGTATATAAGCTTCTGCATCTTTCAATTAAATTCTGAAATTATATTATAGTAAATTACTTTTGCTGCCAAATAATGTTGAATTTTGCGCTTAATTATAATGCTAAGCCAATTATGTGGCTAATATATGTTGAGTTACAACTTATTTATATTAATTATATATTTGAATATTTTCTCAGTTTCAAAATGTATGACTATTACAAATGAGCTATTCATTCATCTATTTCAAGTTTTTGCCACTCGGCGTTGCATTATCTGCATTTAAATGCCGTTTTTAAATTATATTTTTGTTTTGCCTGCTCGAATTTGTTTGTGTTTTACACTAATAATTTACTTGCCAAATTTTGACCCAACATTAATTAAGTAACTAATTCAAATTTTACATATATTAATTAATGATATGTCTTGCTGAAAAGCAAGAAGTCGCACGGTGCCATATCAGGCGAATACGGAGTGTGGTTAAAGGTTAAAATGTGACAACGCCAACCTTCATAAGCCACGCATAACACTCAAATAGTATTCCGTGTTGACCATAATCGAAGAAAAATGTCAACATAACCATGATTTCTGACCTGCTTTGACGTGGTCTTCTTCAGCTTCAGCTCACCTTTGCCACGATATTCAGCCAGACTTAGCGCAGTCAAAACGCGTTTCATGATGTCCTGGTAGTCGGGAAGCATTCTTTCACAGATGTTATCGCGACGCTGTTTTTCGAACAAATTGTGTGATTTTGGAACAAATCGTAATTTCACTAACGCCTAACTGATCTTCCAAAATAATTTCCCTGATCCTTCCGATATTCCAACAATACCAGTGAGTTCTCTGATTGTTAATCGTCGATTCTCTAGCACTCATTCCTTCATTATACCTTGAACAGTGGATATTAAGTTTGTCACGAAGTTTGTACCACGCAGAAGGAAGGGTCGGAGACCCTAAAAAATATAATATATATATAAATGGTCAGTATGTTGAGCTGAGTCGATTTAGCCATTTCCGTCTCTCTGTTCGTCTGTCTGCATATATACGAACTAGTCCCTGAGTTTTTAAGATATCGTTTTGAAATTTTGTACACGTCATTTGCTCTTCAAGAAGCTGCTTATTTGTCGGAACTGCCGATATCGGACCATTATAACATATAGCTGCCATACAAACTGAACGATCGGAATCAAGTTCTTGTATGGAAAACTTTCACATTTTACAAGATATATTCACGAAATTTAGTATAGATAATTTTCTAAAGCAACAATTTAACATCCGAAAAAAATTGTTCAGATCGGATTGCTATAGCGTATAGCTTCCATACAAACTGAACACATAGTTACTAATATAAATGCACTTGTGAAGGGTATTTAGCTTCGGTACAACCGAAGTTAACGTTTTTTCTTGTTTTATTGACATGTTGATCATCAGTTGACGAGGGTAGCCGTCCAGGACGTGGCCCTCTTTTAATAATTTGTACCAATTAAAAACACTTGCTCGCGGCAAACATTTATCACCGAAGGCTTTTTCCAGCAATCTGAATGTTTCGGCACCAGACATTTGATTCCCCACACCAGTTAATGAAACTTCTTTGTTAAATAATTTCAGTCCAGTATGAGCTCCAGTATGAGCTCCAGAAAGAGGAGCCTATACTAAATACTAATTAATACTTTAATGTGGAATTTTCCACAGATATCAATGACAGCCATATCAATATTTTGACGTATGAGTTTTCGAAGGAAATTCAAATTAAAAAGTCTTACTATTTTTTTCCCACAGAAGTAGAACTGTTCAAATGTATTAAATTCAAAGCTGATATGAATGAAATATGAAACCACCAGCATATTTACATATAATACTATTGACCATTTTAAGAATTAATTTTTAGATCTCAACATTAAGCTCGCTGGAAAGAACATTGGTAGCAATGTAAAGTTGCCCACCGATGCGGGTTTATACCTTGAAGTCTTTATTGAAGCGGATGAAAACACGCTCCTTTTGGAGAAGAATAATGCATTTTTTCATTAAGAGATCTCACCTTGACATAAATGAAGGGAAACGATCTGAAAATTATCCGTATTGCTTCCGAGTTCATCATGATCTGAATATTTGATTTACAACGACTTTTTCTGTCCCCAGAGTTCAAAATTCCGCTATTTCGGCATGGAGAGACAACAGCCTTATTTAAAGATAAGAAAAGCGCTGTTAAATTAAAACCATGTCAAAATCAATGAAAACGATCAAAAATTTGTTTGAATATGGTACAAAGTGACGGTTTTGCTCTCATATCATAAAATTGGGCTCGCTAGAATGAAATTTGGCAACAATGTAAATATATTTGCACAGACTGGAGTCTATTTTAGAGCAGAGGATAAAAGACGTTAAAAAAATAGGTATCATGAAATTGATATATCGCTCTCGTACTCGACTTCCTGGGTTAATAAACTCTGGCTTACAATATACCCTCGAATGTCATCATATATAGCTTGTTAATGCTCTTCTTCTAGTATTAACTATAGAAAGAATTTTACTCATTACCTTAATAGGTTAAAGTGCTTATCAGTTTAATAATAAGGAAACTATATAATTTGGCATTAACTGTTTAATTATTGTTCTCAAAATTTATAAATTAATGCTTTAGATTATAATAATTCCTAAGTCTTAGTGCTTATCAGTTTTGTGTGATTTTTTTGTGTTTTATTGAACTCATAGCTCATTTTCCTCTTTATATTATATTCTCAGTTTTTGTACACAATTATTATTTTTCCATGTTCTTGTCTTAACGCCAATTTGTCGTACCGAAAGCGTGCTGACAATATGCCGTGTTATTTGCTAAACGAACATGACAGAAACAACAAAGAAATAGCGAGATACAACACACGTGTCCATTCATATCCATTTGCCAAACGTTCTGTCACAACTTTTACAAATATTTTATTTTTTTATATTTTCAAAATAATATTACTTTTTCAGCAGCCGACCGCCACCGCGACATCTGCTCCCAGCCTGCTAGTGGCTTAGTCCATTTCCGCGCCAAATAATTAAACAAATTTAAATATGAGATACTCGTACCATATGAAAAGAGCCAGCTCTCGTAATATGAAAATTTGCTTTCTTTTTGTTTAGCTGCTAATGGCTTGTCGCAGTATAAATTTTCGCTTTTCTAGACATTTCACTTGATTGCAACGACAATAAACTGGGTTAATTTCGAGTCCATATATTTAAGAGAATATTTAGCTTTACATTTTATGCAAAATTACAATAAATTGTTTAATTTCGTTTGTCTTTTGTTTGCTTCGCCTGCGTTTAATGACTCAACATATCCACAGAGAGATAAACACATGTGTGCCCCGGCTAGTAGAGAAAGCG